GAAAAATATGAAGATAATTGCTTGTGTAAATACTGCTATAATGTTATATGTGGTATAAATATAAATGATACGTGTAATCAGCTCGATAAAAGTCACGTTATAACCAGCTCAGGGATGATGATGATGATGATGATGATGATGATGATGATTATTATTATCATTATTTACAGTTGGAGAATGAGAGGATGGAGACTCATGATGGAGATCCAGCTCTGGCCAACCCTGCCATGGCCTGACTGCAGTCCGAGGCTTGCCCAGGTGAGAGGGGCTCAGTGGGGGCTCAGTGGAGGCTCAGTGGGCGCTCAGTGGGCACTCAGTGGGCGCTCAGTGGTGGCCGTGGTGCCTGGCGTGCGGTCCCTGAGCGCTGGCCACCAGATGGCAGGCACAGCCTCTGCTGCAGTAATGCTCTTTTTGACCAACATGAGCATCTTTCTCCATGGAAAACGACAGTGCCAAATACGCTGAGGGTAACGGCCGCTTTCTGAAAGCTGTTTTCAGCTTTTTCGCCTCAAGTTTTTTTATTCTTTTGCCTTTCTCTGTTGTGATTCTCACCTTGTGCCAGGGAAATGCCTTTTATTTCTCCGCTGGTCTCAGTTATAGCTGCTAATTCAGTTGGATTTGAACCAAGTATAACACAACCAAGCGGGACTGTGCAGGCTCTACATTGTAGTAGTTGGGATGGATTAAATACACATAATGTATTCAAAATACATGTATACATAGACAGTTTTGTTTAAATTTATTCTTTTTTTACTGGATAATTCCCGAGTTCTCTGCACCGTTTAGTTCAATGGCCAGCTCACCCAGGATGAAGCTGTAGAGGTGTGCAAAAGCAGCATCACAGCTCTGAAGAGGCAGGAAAAACAGGACTATTTTAAGTGCAGAATGTAAGGTCATTACATGGATACTGGTTTTAGCTGAAACTGAAGAGATGGGGACTTAGCAATTGTGCAAGTGACCGAAACTTCAGTAAAGTACCAGGGCCTCCATCATTCTTTATTCTTGGAATAAACATTGTCCTTACTCAGAATTTGGAAGAGCACTGAATGAAATCCTTCGTTCTCCAACACGCTGTTGAATTTCATTGCATTTTACAACAAAAAAAGGCAGGAACGAAAATAAGAATTTCTTTCAGAATAAGTGAACAGAAACATGGGTGCAAATTTACAGCGCACACGAAAACTCCTCTGCGCAGACGGGTACAGATGATGTACCTGTGCAGCCAAGCAGAGCGAGCACATTTATAAACACCGAGTTTATAAATGCCTTACTTTTATTGCGTGGATGGGTGTTTGTAAGCTGCTCGTAGCGTACAACTCCTCGGAGGTGAATAAACTCCTACTTAGCGTGTAGCAAGAGCGACCCACCCAGTCACGTAGTAATTCATTGGTAATTTACTGTACTACACTCTGGCTCCATGCCCACCACCTTCCCACTGCGGGCAAGCTCTACGAATTGTATCGTTGTGTCGTTGTCAGCACTTTTATATCACATCACAAGCGAGCTATCGATATCATTTGATCTTTATAGAGAGAAAGGGAACATAAAAGCTCCAGTACTGTTCATCTAATCTGATTATCTTTTTCCTGTTTCACAGAACTGGGGGGTTTTCTTATCCAGTTTGATCTGTCTTCCAAGGTCCATGGGGTGATGCTATGCCAGTGGCGTTGTCCCCCAAGTTTCCTGTGAACAGAAGAGTTTATGGCTTGAGTTCATTTACCTTCTTGCCAGGGTTGTGCACATCTCTGCAGCACCAAGAGCCTTGCACCAGTCTTACTTGTCCCTACCAGTCCCTACCAGTCCAGCTGGGGCTGGACACCAGTTATCTTACATGGAGAGGGACTTGCTCAGCCACTTGTAAAGATTCTCACAGCTCATCCGTGGAGCAATTGTAAAACTCCCTGTTTGAAAGTAAATCAAAGAGGCTCTCCTTGTTTGCTTCTAAGGGCTTGCTTATTATAAGAAAGTTCACATTAACATCCCATCCTGTGCACACTGGGTTAATATCTGGACTTAGGATTTCTTATGGCCACATCATCCATTCACTGTATCATAAGCTCGGATAGGTCACTTTTTCTCAGTTTCAGCTCAATGATACTTTAAATGTTTTAATCAAATCTGTCTGACTGAAATTACTACTGTTTTTGCCTCTATTAATGGCATAGAGTTTACACTGTTGTAGCTGAATTGATATCTACTTAGCTTTACTACAGCAGTAAGAACTGAGGCTTCTATGCACATGCAATCACTCTGTTGTTTTCCATGCTAATGCTGCTTTTCTTTATAAGGATAGGGCCTAAACATCTGTGTCCAGCTGATAAAGTTTGCTTCGCTGCTTTTCTTTATAAGGATAGGGCCTAAACGTCTGGGTCCAGCTGATAAAGTTTGCTTTTCAGTTGTCTGCTCCTGCACAATTGGTTGAGTCCAGCAGTCTTGGGATTAAGCTGAAGGAGTTTTAATTTGAATTAAAGCATTGACTATGGTTGCAGGACAGTCAGAATCATTTTACAGATGCTTAAATCAAAAGTGCAAAGGAAATGCTGGCAGCAAAACAAGTTTCTCCATTTCTTCCTGCAATCTTTATGTATTTGTAGCTGACAGAGAAACCCCCAGTTTTGTGTTTTCCTCCCACACCGCTGTGTTTTGAATGTTAATCACAAGACAGAGAATGCTCACAGAGGGAAGGTATATGGCTCTCTGCTGTTTCAACTGCGGAGACATCCTTTCAATTGCGTGCAGACAGCAGATGGTGTGGCTTTTGTAGCGTCAGGAGCTCCAACACAACATAGCCAGCCCCTGCACAGCGTGGGACATTTTTAGTAAATATGGGGAGAGCGAAGGGTTAGGGGTGGGGAGGCAGTCATTCCTGGGACATTTGTTCCATTTATATGTCACAAATCCACAGTGATGTTGTTATGCTTCGCTCTTGGTCATTTTCTGCATCTGTTCTAGCAAACTGCTCTCCTGCCAGGAACATAGACCCAGAGAAACAGTTTTGAAAGGACTGTTCAAACTTCAAAATCCACCTCTCCATTTGAAAGTCGGATGTTTTCTTTCATAAGAAGATGCAAGGTTTTGAAGTTACTTTCTCCCAGACTTCAGAAGGGGAAGTGGGTAACAAATTCCCAGCTAATAAACATGAGGTAAGATCTTCTCCAGTCTGCAGGTAAAAGCTGCCACAAAACTGACCCTGAATTTTCTGAAGCTTTTTCTGGTCAGAAAGTTCTTTTCCATTAGAAATCCCCTTCTCGCCCCATGAGGCTGTTCACCCATCAGTCTGGATGGGTTATTCTGGAATCCCTCTCAGTTTTCCCCGGAAGGAAAAGTTTGGAAACTGCAAACATTTTCCTAAATCAGGAAATATATTCCTATTCAAACCTCACATGCCCTGCGTATTCTGTAAGTGGTTTCAAGGCTATGTAACTTAGGAACAGCAGAGGCTTTGCATGAAAGCAAACAGCTTAGTAAAGAAAATACACAATTAATACAAATCGGAGTGGATTTTTTTCACAGAGTTACAACATACACTGATAAGAGGCACAATTTTATATATATACACACACACGTATATACACACACACAGACTTTTAGAAAACCAAAAGATAATGGATTTTCTGTTCTTCCCCAATTTATTATTTTATAACATAAAATAAAATTCCAATCTATAACTCAGTTTTCACATAAATCCTAGGATTTTTGTTCAGATTAAAACATGTTAGTGGGGCTATGCCAACACACAGCCACTGCTGCATGTATTCTAAGTCACCCAGCAGACTCCCTGACTTGTAACACATGGTTAGCTTACGTAAATCAGAGGTCTGCTTTTCCAAAATAAGTATCTTTTTTTGTACTTTATGCAAACATTTGCTGAGCAATACAAAGCCCTGTTTGTCTCTTGATATTTAATCAGGTATGGGAACATGGTGCCATGGACCAATCTAATATTTCAGAATTCTTTCTTCTGTGTGGAGATAAAGTCTGATATAAAGAGAAGAGAAGGCTGAGGGGAGACCTCATCCCCACCTACAACTGCCTCAAGGGAGGTTGTAGAGAGGTGGGTGCTGGGCTCTTCTCCCAGGTGATGGGGGATAGAACAAGGGGAAACGGCACCAAGCTGTGCCAAGGGAGGTTCAGGTCAGAGATAAGGAGGAAGTTCTTTACTGAGAGGGTTGTCAGAAGCTGGAACAGGCTGCCCAGGGAGGTGGTGGAGTCACCATCCCTGGATGTGTTTAAAGAGCGGGTAGATGAGGTACTTAGGGATATGGTTTAGGGGGTAGACAGGAGCGGTTGGACGTGATGATCTCAGAGGGCTTTTCCAACCGAGTGATTCTGTAATTCTGTGATGTGCAGGTGCAGTAATTTACCCAGAATCTTACCAGATTTTCTCAGGAATCTGCACAGCTTGTTTCTTATTTTCATTCAAAGAAAAATTCAGACATTCAAAACCCACCTGGACGCCTTCCTATGTAACCTCATCTGGGTGTTCCTGCTCTGGCAGGGGGATTGGACTGGATGAGCTTTTGAGGTCCCTTCCAATCCCTAACATTCTGTGATTCTGTGATATTTTAACTAATAGAGGGTATACTTTCAGACAGAGCAAAGCTGTGGTATCAGGACACCGCTTTGAAGCTGTTTTCTCCATGTTTCATCATAACATATTTTACCATTATTCCATCCTGAACGCAAATATCAGTGGAATCTTGGAAGAAAAAACCCATCACTTTGTTTAAATACCCACTAAAATTGAAACCCGAGCTTTTGTCCTTGATTTCTGCTGATCTCCAGGTTGTTGTCAAGGATGTATGATTGAATTACAACCTTGATTTTTCACACAGGTCAACGGCATCCATGCTGGTGACTCACAGAGATCGTAAACGCGTACTTCCGAGGGGTGTGGGTGTAGGTGGGCCGAACAGCTTGGTTTATAAAAAGGAGGGCCTCATGCCATCTGCACTTACCCGTTCCTCTGCATCCCAGCTGCTGCTCTGCTTTCCCAGCCGCATCACCAGGGCAACATGGCATTCGCGGGCAAATACGAATTTGAAGGCGATGAGAACTACGATGACTTTGTGAAGAAAATTGGTAAGCGTGTCTTGGGCTGTAAGCCTTGAAGGTTATAAATTAATTTAAAATACTTCTTGTTTTTTTTTTTAAAGGGGGTTTTACTGAAATGTGCCGAGATCAACAGGGGCTAAGAGTGGTGGGAGTGCTCTGCACCTCAGCAGGGAGATTCAGGTTTTGTTCTTGTAGGAATCACTGTCAGCCACAGGAAATAATCCTGTTCAGTTCCTCCTCAGTGGCAGCAGAATGAAGGGCCAGGATGTTTGCAGTATAATGATCATGAAAGTCACTTTTCCCATCCTTAGTATTCATTGGTGGGAGTATAAATTCAGCGTCAAAAGGCTTGTTGAAATCTTAGACAGGAAGATGTTTCTGTGAGTGCTTTCAGAAGACTGCAAACCTGTTTGAGATTACTCCATAAACTAGGGACACTAATCTGTGTATGTAAATGTAGTGCTTGTATTAATTTGTTTAAAAAGCAACAGCAAAGAATAAATAGGTACGCGCAGATATGTAGCAAAAGCACAAATTCATACCCATTCAGTTCCATGCATCTGCAGATTAAGAAGGGAATGTTTATACATATTTAGATGTTTATTCTGTGTATGGTTTCTCAGAAAAGAACCCAAGACTATTTCACAAAGGCCTTGATGTACCTGTATCTTCCTTTATACCAGCAATTTAAACTCAGAGCCTTCATACTGCTGTAAAAAAACAACAAACCCAGCAAACCCAAACCTAAATCATGGATGCCTGAGATGCTCCAATTCAAACACAGCTGGTAGGCTATTAGATCTGATAACCTGCATGTTTCTGTTGGTTAAGGCCTCCCCAGTGACAAGGTGGAAATGGGAAGGAACTGCAAAATAGTCACCGAGGTGGTGCAGAACGGAAACGACTTCATCTGGACCCAGCATTTCCCAGGAGGCCGCACCACAACCAACACATTCACAGTTGGCAAGGAAGCAGACATGGAGACTATGGGTGGCAAAAAGTTCAAGGTAAATCAATTTAGCTCTTAAGTTCTGTGGCATCTCAGCTGGTTTTTAAGTTAGGGTGGAAATCAAATCTGTCTCAAGGACATCTTCCTTAAATTGTTTGGTTTTTTGCACTTGTCATAGCTTAGGAAGATTACACAATACTGACCTGCTGCTGTCGTGGACAGAGTCTTGAGGCAGTACCTGCTGTAAAATGGTTGTTTTACTTACCTTATTCATTTCTCATCTATTTCAAGGGATAAGGCAGTTTGGGACAGCTAAACTCTGCATTTGTGAGGTGTCCAGAGCCCTACAGCAGATTACTGCATAAAAGCTTTATATGTATTGAAGAGACAGGAAAACCAGCAACTGCATCAGGGAGCTGTGACGAACTGAGAATAGCGAAAGCATTGCTTAACTTCCAGAATGCTTTCTTAGTCTTACCTTCCTGATTATGACAGGAAAATCCCCATGTCTTTGGCTTTGAGAAGTCTTTGTGAAACCTGACAGAGGAAGACACAATTCTACTTGGTCAATTTGTTGCAGACTTGAAGTTTTGAAATATTACAGAATCTGTTCTCTTCTTTTTGGCCCTGGGCACTTGAACAGCCCAAAGCTTAAGTAGCCAAAGATGGGGGCAGAGTAAATGACTCTCAGCAGAGAAACCACTGCCTTTTAGTATCATCTCACTAAGCAATACATCACGTTCACTTATACTTACATGAGTGGAATCAGTTCTGGTGTAGTCAGAGGCATGAAACACAGGATCTAGGCTAAAGCTTCACATCTCTGTCCACAGTGGCTTTCGTGCTGCTTGCAGGCAGGTTATTAGTATCTGGAAATGCT